GGAAATATATGTACGAATTCGATTGTTCAGGGCATATGGATTTAAAAACATTATATTTGTGATATAATATAAAACTTATTTCAAAATGTTATATAATAGTATCTATTCATTGTATATGGTTTATCGTCCCTCTCTGAGATATTTTCACTAATTATGAGATGTCTGTTTTATTGAAATAACTAACAATGTTCTTACTCAAGAGTCCATTTGAAAAATACAAAATCAGACATTCACAAAATAAGAGGAAGGATCAGGTGCCATAAATGACGTCACATATTAAATGATTGTTCTATAGGCAATTCAAAAACGCAGGAGTGGATCAGTGAGTTTTACAAAACTTGGGCGGAGTATAAAACAGGCTTCGGGAACCCGGAGGACACGTACTGCATTTTTAAACACAATTATTAGTTCGTTATAGTTATGTAAATTGTTGATTTGTTTAGTTATATTAACTTAATTTTTGATAAGTAAAAGTTAGAATTGAAAGTTCTCCATATATTTTCTTGTAATTTGTATGATAATTATATACCTGTGTTTATGGAAACTGTTTTTGTATAACACTGCAACAATTTTATATCATGCTTTGGCTTTGTTATATAAACATGATGTATTTTAAAGGAAATGACGTTATTCACCAACTTACAAGGGGAAGAAACTCCTCCCCCTACGTGTCTATAACATTACAAAATGATACACGATTGTACCAACTTTATCATCAGTTCTCTGTTTCTGATGAAGCCGGTAACTACAGACTTTTTCTTGGAGGGCCAGTTAACGGGACATTGGGTAAGATTTAATTAAAACAAACGTTAATAATAAAAGCGAAAGATGCACTGAAAGGTTAAAAAGGAATGAAGGCAAATAAAGTTAATCCTACAAAAACAAATTTACCCTTTTCTAATCAGATCTCACCTTCCTTGTTTTTATGCAGCAGTAAATCGTAAAAACCTTTATTTGTGGTTTTGTTGATTTAATCTCAAGACCACCCTCCTAGTGTTAATTCAATACAAGTCCAGCTGTTGACAAATAAGTAGGTGGTACAAAATTTTAATGAGTCCTATTAAGAGTCAATGCATTGCAAAGACTATAATTGGTACACAATCGATGTCGATATCAAATTCAATTCGTCATTCATACAATGTTGGAAGATATTTTTCAATAATTGTTAGCATTCTATTTCACTATAAATTCACTAAGGTCGTTTTTTTTTCATTTCCACAATCATGACAAGCGTCATAATGATTTTTACTCTTGACCCAATCACCAATGTTTTCAAAGATCCGGATATGCTCTGATACATTACCAAATGCGTATCATAAAGTGAGACGTTTTTAGGCGTGATAACCGATCTTTGCTTTCAAATGTTTACCAACGCAACGTTTGATGCAATTCTACTTTTTTTAACATCACTTTTATCTAATTATATAGATTGCCAATTTTTTATTTTTTTTAGGTGACAACATGCTTAACACTCGACGACCCGATAGCACATTAAATGGGATGTCCTTCAGTACCCCTGACCGAGACAATGACCTGGGCGCGGATCGTAGCTGTGCTGCTGTTTTTAAGGGCGGTTGGTGGTTCCGGAACTGTTACTCGGCCTTCCTGAATGGCCCCTGGTCCGGGAATGGTTATCTCCCTAACCCCGGTAGTTAACGGAGAGGAGAAAAAGGAAACGGTCATGTTGGTCAGAGCAAACTGACTGTGACAGGACACTCTTATATTGATATGGTCAAAATGATTATTGAATAAAATTTAAAAGTTTACATGGAGCAGGTGTATTATTTAAAAGCCGTTTAAACCCCAAAACAGGCGCATATTATCTTACACAATAAATGTACCTCATTACATAAAAAATATATAAAAACAAATTATAGGATTGTTTCAATATTTTATAACAACAATCCTTACATGGAAAATGCAGATCATAAACCTTATTGACAAACAGTAGTTCCTACGGAAGTTAAGGTCTGTTGTGAAGTAAATTTTTGAAAATAATAATTTTATCGGATATATTCAATAAAGAAGATAATTCAAACCCGAGTATTTTTTTTTCTCTATTTAGTAGAAGCCTTAGCCATAATACATCTTTTCAAGAAATTTATTGAATATGATTCATACATGTAAAAATTTTATATTAAATATGCATATTTTAAGAATAAAAGAAAAATGATTTTTATAAAGGAGCTAAACTATTGTCCGTGTACAGGTAATACATTAATACATGTACTTTGTTGTGAAAAAAATACTCGGGTTTGTTCTTCATGATATAAACATGCAAGGATAAATTTATTTTTTAAAGGGGATTTCACGCGTTATCAACAATGATCAACATAGGATTATTTTTTGTGTGACCAAAAAAAATTATTTTTTTAACTTTCTAATTTTGATATCTTTTAAAAGAAAAAGACTTTGGGGATATAATTTGACAAAAGTTCAAACTATTTAGGGAAATTATTTTTCAAGAAGAAAAACGAATATATATTTTTAGCGATTATAATCGGACCAAGCGGCTTTAATGTATTTATAAATTTTTTATTATTTCAATCCCTTAAAAGGGGGATGGGGGCTAACTCCGTTTATATCAGTGAATATATAATTTTTTTTTTTTACAAAGAAAAAATGCCCCCATGTAGCTGCTAGGAACATGTCAATTTTGAAAAGAAACAACTTACCGAATTTCAAGAATAAAATTCGTGCACATATTTGAATAATTGAAAATTGGAACCTGACTAGAATTTCATGTCATTGTACATCTTATGATAAAAAAAATTACTAACAAGTGATGAAAACGTAAATTTAAATTATTTTTTCGCCAGTCGGCAGAACTTGTATATAAGTTTAAAAAAATTATTCGTATGAATAGCACATCGGTAAAACGTTAAAAAAAATAAAAAGAATTGCAAGGGATAGGTATAGGGAAGGGGAATTTTGTAAATTTATGGTATGAGTGGCCAGTACACAATTATTGCCCTTATGGAAACGTGTGACATTAACAAATGAGTGATGGAAAAAGCCCTGTTCATAAACATAAATTCGTAACAAAAACCAAGGGTCGTGTTAGCCATCGAATTTATATTCACTTGTTGCAAACAACACAAATTTGCAATTTATATACACCGTACTTGAATCTATTAAATTACGTCTGTAGCACAAGATAGTCTGTCTGAAACTTTTTGTGTCCCCCTAAACGGGGGAGTTATACTTCAATGCTGAACTGGATTGATCAGCATACTCAGAATTAGAAAAATTCCCTAAATGTTATGTCATAACATTCTTTGACAACAACCAAGTCCTTGTAAGGAACCGGAGAGTTCTCTTTAGCTAAGGTTTACTTAGCACAGTTACAACTGTTTTCATTTCTTTTTAAAACCACCTTTTGATTCACAGACAATCCATACCCTTTCTCCATGCAAGATCAGACTGTAAATTCTTAAATTTTCAGATGGTTTCGATGAAGTTTTAAATATAAAAGATTACAGACATTTTTTAAGATTATAGAGAAAACCATTTTAGCGCTAATAAAGAACAAAAAAAAAACCAAACTGTGATAAAATAGAATGTGAATTTGATTCCTTTTCTTTTGTAGACCATATCCACAAAGATTCTCCGTCAATTCTCATGGGTAATCCAATTTCTGTCATCCCCATCTCTATTTTGAGTCCGTGAAAACTCTCACAAAATCTTTAAAAAAAAATTATTCAAGACCTCAAGGACATCCTTGTGGAAAATATGGCAAAAAGGTTTATGCCCACTTTATTTAAAAATCAAATGTGCATAAATATTTCAAAGTTTGTATCGTTTCAATTACCAATCATAATTTCGTACATTATTTCATCTCTAGTAGAAATGACCTGTCAATTGATTACACACATATCAATCACTTGGCAATATTCTTATCAATATTTTAATGTAACAGCTGATATCAAACTTTTGTGGTAAGTTGTAGGCTTGGAGTTGGCAAAACTTTTGGGGTACTGGGTATGCATTAGCAAAAACATGGTAAATTACGTACTACTTAGCAAGTTACGACGAATTTAGGTAGTACCTACGTACTACGTTACGACTGTTTCACTAAAGGTACTTAGAACTGTCGTAAATAATCGCACCTTACGTACTACTTAATTTTACCGGAAGTAAAAAAATAATGGCAGACTAAACACTTTCTAAAATTAAGAAACAGAGGAAGAATTTTACGGCAAGGGAAGTAGAGGTCCTGGCGGATGAGGTTTGCTCCACAGAAGGACGTAAAAACTAATCAAAAGAAGAACGAGTGCTGGAAGAACATTTGTTTCCCTGTGTGTATACAGCATTGTATTTATAAACATTTTATGCTCTGTTTACTATTTCAGTATATTAATATAAAATGTATGCATACGTTTTTAATATTTTTTTAAGTAGGTCAATATGTACACGATATCGCTATAGGTTGTCCATGATGCCCCCCTCCAATCGATTACTTAATCATCATGACACATCTCAAATAGTTGATAAAAAATAATAATGAAGAGCTTACAGTGAAGTAGCCTAGTTGAATATCACATGCTAGTAATTAATTTTGCAATCATGGAAAGGGACTCACGAAAAGGAGAAAACGAATACTTACCAAAACCAATGCAATGATGAACGAAATCGTCTGCATGTTTACCTTTTTAAGCTTGACACTGAGAATATCCTTTATGAATATAAAAATATTGCATAGCTATTCGGGCTTTTAGTTCTATTTAATTTTACCTTTTCGGTACAGCACTCATTGCGATTGCATGGAAACCAAACTTCGTCCTTGTTGTCTCGGCATCACCAGTCGGAAACTTGATGTTGGTGATTGTCCGACACAAGATATTGATAACATCGTCTATAGACCTAATCAAAATTTTATATCTATAAATTTATCATAAGGGCATTTTTAAAGCTTACCTTCTCTTTATCGATGGACCAAAAAATGGACCAAATTAATCTCTTTTTTTTTAAATCTTCAAGCCTTTTCAGGAAATGCTCTTTTATTTCATAACAATTTTCTTCTCATCCCTTCAACGGCTGTATTTCAATTTTCGTTTCTTTTCTGCCTTTACCAAGTTCTTTCTCTTCCATTTTTTCATGAGTTGGGAGAGGAAGGCAATTCCAAGTTTTTTTGAAAAGGGCCCATTCAAATTCAATTAGACTTCTAGTAAAAAACATAATTTTATAATCCTTGTATTTAAATACCTGCCAAACAGATGCTTTCGATATTCCCAGAGTGTCTCCAATAAGCCACTCTCTGCTGGGAGCCGAAAGCAAGGAATCTTAAAGCAGCAAACACTTGCAGAGAGGCTCAGAAGCTCCAGATCTTTTTGTTGGTCTTCTAGGCAATATTCAGACCATGCAATAATTCTGATGATGGTCATTCTGTCTAATCGGTAACGATGGATAATATTGATGCCGTCGTGGCACATAATGTCGTCATTTCTTATCATTCATCTCATCCCTTCTGGTTGCGATTGTAGTGATTGTAGTATATTCATGTATATATCAGGTTTCGAGATAGGTATGTAATGCATAGTCTCAGGTTTACGGGCTTTGCGCCGATTAGTCGTCAGCTGACGTTAAATATGCGTGATTATTATTGCTGGTTTATGCTGCAAGTGTTCTACACCAATTTTTGTAGAAAAACATCAAACTCAGTTATTCATCTTGATCAATGCTAAATAATCAGTGGATTAGCAGTACATACGACTTTATGCACAGTATGTAAGTGATGATATTTGGATTCGCTTTGTGACTGTTTTTCGACTCCATCGGAGCCTGGGGTACATGCATATATTACAAAATGGCATGAGGACTGTGCTAATCGGCCATTCGTACATTATAAGGATGGACAAGTATATGAAAGACAAGATGTGAAAAAAAAATCTTTGTTTTGACCTAAATTATAAATAGATTCTCACTGTTGATCCGTGGCCAAGGTGGGTTAAACGTTAAGGGTTGGCGACATCGTGAACACTATGTACTTTCTCCACAGCCCCTGACCGTCCGCCTTTTCAAATTTAAAATCGCATAAACTTCCTTCGACCCCCACAAAGATTGTAAGGTATATTTCTTTTCAAAGCCCTGATTCATGGTACGAGTGTGAAAACACATGTAATTTTCTGCAACTTCTTCAACAATTATATAACTTACCACCGGGATGCAACGATGCTATTGAGATTAATCAGCTTAGAAACTCTGTGTCTGAATCCTTACCATACACTGTGTGTGTCATTTTAGAAACACTGGGGTTTTGGAGCTAACCTACAGTACCTGAGGGAGCGTCACCTACGTACAAAACCATGCATGTCATCCATCCGTACCTTTAGTAAATGGTCAATGAAAGATGCAGTGGTCAACACTTGCAGGAGGCTAAGGCCAGTATAAATTAATTTGAAGTTTGATATAATGATATACATGATATATGAGCATAAATCATGGAAATGAATAGATGCATATGTATAGGACAAGAGTCAAATATCTAGTAAGATATTTTAGAAAGATGTCCATTCTAAACATTCAAGTATTATTTATCTTTCTTTAAGATATGTATAACTTCATGAAAACCTGCAGAACATAATGTCAAAATTTTCCATGCTAATGTTTCAAAAGTTATTGTTTGCAGGGTAAATTACAGTATACATATGTCAAAATTTTCCATGTTAATTGCTGTATTTAAGTTATTGGTTCGCAATGTGAACTGGCAGTATACATATGACGTCAAAGTTTTCCATGTTGCTGCATCAAAGTTATTGGTTTGCAATGTGAACTAGCAGTAAACATGATGTCAAAGTTTTTCATGTTACTGTTTCAAAGTTATTGGTTTGCAATGTGAACTAGCAGTATACATGATGTCAAAGTTTTTCATGTTGCTGTTTCAAAGTTATTGGTTCGCAATGTGAACTAGCAGCATACATGACCTCAAAGTTTTCCATGTTGCTGTATCAAAGTTTTTAGTTCGCTATATGAACAAGCAGTACATGATGTCAAAGTTTTCCATGTTACTGTCTCAAAGTTATTGGTTTGCAATGTGAACTAGCAGTATACATGATGTCAAAGTTTTTCATGTTGCTGTTTCAAAGTTATTGGTTCGCTATGTAAACTAGCAGCATACATGATGTCAAAGTTTTTCATGTTGCTGTATCAAAGTTTTGAGTTCGCTATGTGAACTGGCAGTATACATGATGTCAAAGTTTTCATGTTACTGTCTCAAAGTTATTGGTTCGTAATGTGAACTAGCAGTATACATGATGTCAAAGTTTTTCATGTTGCTTATTCAAAGTTGGTTCTCAGTGAGTACTGGGTAAGTCATGTGGCTGTCTCAAGGTATAACTAAACTATTCAATACAAGATCAAAAGCCAGGCATGTTTTTTTTTTCTTTTATAAAGACTTGATTTATCAGTAAAATATAACAGTTATGAAGCCACTGTTGTTGAAATCTTCATCATTTTATTATCAAAGTATGCAATTATGAAAGGTCATTACCTAAAATGTTGGTGATACCTTTCATCATAACAGCAGAAAATACATGAAGTAGTTCGCTTAAAATATATAGTCATAAATTATATTCTAGATAGAATTCTTTCAGCTTCAATCCTGCCCAAGAGACGCCCAGCCACAGACGAAACCTGGAGAAGAGGAAAAGAGTAAAAACTCAGAGTGAAGTGTCAAAACTGGTGGCGTATCCATCCGTGCAGATTGATAATGAAAACAAGCAGACAAAATTCTAAAGTAACAAGGTAGTCGCGGAACCCTCTTAAGATGCTACAAGCAACATATCAGAAATACTCAATCAGTTATTAAGTTCAGGCGAGCCAGCGACCCCAAAATAGCATATCGACATTGATGGGATTCCGCTCGGTGCAACAGTAGCACAACGCATAAAACAAAAAATCTGGGAAAATCAGTATTTAGATTTGCGTGTGCTGCTGCTGCAGCAGCGAGAGGATTCAGTATTTTGGGGGGTCTTCGACTTCCAACACCAATCAATCCAAATAAATTAAGTGAATTTCTAGTTCATTATGATAGATCTCTTTAAACTTAATTAGTGCAGAGTTTTAAATGGGGACTTTAGCCTGGGTTGTGTTTGCCGAGCCCATCATATCCAATATGTTGAGTAATCATTAATCAGCAAGGGAGCACCAAAATGTTCTCAAATGACCACAGAAACAGGTCTGCAAAAAGGGAATTGATGGACCAGTACCTGCACCCCAATTAAATCAATTTGTTGTATCACGCCTACTGCGGCCCTAAACTTAGTGTCAAAAGGTAATTCAAATAATGAGAACAATTCATGACTTCTTTTTTCCAAAAGACCTGTCTGTGAATGCCAACATCCAAAGAGCTTCTCTTCTGTACACTGTTATTGGATTGTTAATGTTAGAAGTTTGGTTAAAAAATTTGGTCAATATCTTTAAGAGCAAAGTCTGACATCAAAGAGGCCTATAAAATAGTTCCAGTTCACCCTCTAGATCACCATCTATTAGGTTTTCATTGGGAAATTCATTTTTAATATTATGGATACTCGGTAACCAATGTGAGCAAGTAACAGTTGTCAAATTTTGAAACATTAAGTTATGCACTACAGTGGACAATGGAAATATTTTTAAAGCAGCAGGGGTCTCTCATATCCTCGACGATTTTTTTTTGTGGGCCCACCAAATTC